AGAGAATGAGAGAGAGAAGAAGAGAGAGAGAAGAGACAGAACAGACAGACAGACAGACAGACAGCGAGAGAAAGTAGATAGAGAGCGAGAGGAGGGAGGAAGCGCGGAAGGGTAAATTTCATCAAACAAAGACATAAATCACACACAAAACACAAAGAAAAATCAGGAATATTTTGTCTTCTCTTCTCGCGTCACGACCAACACACGCACGACAAAAATAGATAAATAAATAATTAGAGAAGATTTAAAATAAAAATAAAATTCAGGAAAACGCCACGGCGCTTATGCCCCTCTCACCTCAAACGCCCCCTCGTGAACCTGTTTCCCCTCGGGCAGTGTCCCCTCAGCGGTCGTTCTGGCGGTGCCCGGCGGGAGCGTGACCCCTGACCACCGCCTCCCCCTCCCCCCATCCCGGCTGACCCCTAGCGTGACCTCTTATGACACATTACACCAGCCGTCACATGAGAGGAGGGTTGCCAGGAGTCGCCATCTTGCGAAAAAAAAAAAAAAAGACGAGGGAGAATTTTTACTTTTGAATTTTTATGCAAACACGTGGGGATTGGCACTGCGCGGATCGCGGAGCTGAGAAAACTTTTGGTATCGGGGAGTGACGTCGGGACAGTCATGCGGGGATATGGGTTCGATCTATGCAGACTCTGTGTGTGTGTGTGTGTGTGTGTGTGTGTGTGGTGGGTGGTGGGTGTGTGTGTTGTGTGTGTGGGTGGTGTGTGGTGTGTGTGTGTGTGTGTGTGTGTTGTGGTGTGTTGTGTGTGTGTGTGTGGTGTGTGTGCGTGTGTGTGTGTGTGTGTGTGTGTATGTGTGTGTTTCTAGAATTCTCCTTATCCTATTTGCCTGGTCTCTTTTCTTACTTCTTCCTTCTTCATTCTTTTCGTTTTTTTTTTTTTTTTTTTTTTTTTTTTTGCGTCGTTTCCTTATCCATTTTCTTCCTGTTACTATCATTTTTTTCTTGTTTTCCCTTTCAGCTTCGGCAATTTCGCTGCTTTCTTTTATTTTATTTTCTTTTCCTGCTTTTTTATCATTCGCCTTTATTTCTTTTTCAATGGGCTTCATTTTTTATGATAATGTTATTGAAATTACTTTGCTATTTGTATATCAAACTTATCGGCAACTTCTCTCATTCTTTGTTTCTTTTTTTTCCTTTTCCATGTAATTCACTATCTCTTTCTTATTTATTTCTTCTTCCTTCGTCTTTTTTCCTCCTGGACTTCCTTCCTGTCCACTTCCTTTATATTATCCTCTTACCCTTTACTATTTTCTTCATTTCTCTCTGCCTATATCCCTTTCTCCTCCCTCCTTTCTCTCCTCCTTTCATTCCTTTTATCTCCCCCGCTCTACTTCCCTTCCTCAGTCCCCTCTATCCCCACCCTCCTTTCTTCCTCCCCTTCTCTCTCCCTTTCTATCTCCCTCCCCCTTTCCCTCTCTTCCCTTTCCATCTCCCTCCCTTTCCCTCCTTCCTTGCCCCATACCCCCTTCCCTTTCCTCTCCCTCCTTCCTTGACCCATTCCCCCATCCCTCTTGCCCTTTCCTCTCCCTCCTCCCCTTCTCCTCCCCCTCCCTCCTTCCCTCCCATTCACCCGTGTGCGTAAAGTCCAATTATTCTAATTTCGCTAATTTACTCAACGAATGGAGAAAGAGAGACACCAAAAAATACAAGACCTTTTTTTTCTCTCTCTCTGTCCCTCGAAGATGACGAAGAGGGAGGAACAAGGAAGAGAAGAAGACGTAGAGACGTTTAACTTAAGACTATTGTCACTTGTTGAAGGGATGGGGAGGGGGGAGGGGGAGAGGGAGAGGGAGGGGATGGGGGAGGAAGTGGGGGAAGAGAGGGGGAAGGGAGAATATGAATGAGGCAAAAAAAAAAAGGGAAAGGAGGATAAAAAAGACAGAGAAAAGAAAAGGAAAAGAGATAGAGAGAAAGGAAGACGAGAGAAGAAAAAACAAAAACACAAAAAATAAAAGAGAGAGCAAAAAAAAAAAACACTAAAAAAAGAAGAAAAAAAAAAAAAAAGAGAAAAAAAACTTAATAAAGAGAAAAAAAAAATACAGAAAAAGAGATCGTAACGCAAATAAAAAAAATAAATAATAAAAAAAGAAATAAGAGAGACGCGCCGCTGTAGGTCGAAGCATAAACACAGGTCGCTTACAAGTATAAAACAAACGAACTCTCAAGGATGCTGTTGCCAAGAGCTCCTTCGTCGACACAGGGGCAAATGTGGACGCTGGGGATCATTTTCGGCCTTTGCCATCTCCTCTTTCTCCCCCTCTTTCGCTCTCTTACTTTCTCTTCTCTTTCGCTTGGTTTCTCGTTCGGTGTTCTTCGCTAACTCGGTGGCTGTCTCTCGATATCGCTTGTTCTTTTTTTTCTCTCTCTTTTTTTTCGCTTTCTCTTTCGCTCTCTCGTTTCTCTCTCTTGCCATTCTATCTCTATTTCGCTTGCTATCTTTTCTCTCGGTTCTGTTTTCTCTCTCTGCTCTCTCTTTCGCTCTCTCGTTTGTTTTCTCTCCTTGTGTTTTCCATTCTATCTCTCTTTCGCTTGCTATCTTTCTCTCTTTCGGTCTCTCGTTTGCTATCTCTCTCTTTTTTTTCGCTCTCTCTTTCGCTCTCTCGTTTGTTTTCTCTCTCGTTTTCCATTTCTATCTCTCTTTCGCTTGCTATCTTTCTCTCTTTCGGTCTCTCGTTTTGCTATCTCTCTCTCTCTTTTTTCGCTTTCTCTTTCGCTCTCTCGTTTGTTTTCTCTCTCTTGTGTTTTCCATTTCTATCTCTCTTTCGCTTTCTTCTCTTATTTTCTCTCTCCTTCGCTCTTTCGTTTCATGTCTCTCTCTTTCGCTCTCTCTTTTACACTCCCTATTATCTCTCGCTTGCTTATTCTCAACTCGCTTACTTCCGCTCTCTCTTTATTAATCTTTATTTTCTTTTCTTTCTCTCTCTCTCTCTCTCTTTCTCTCTCTCGCTCTCTTCTCTCTCTCTCTCTCTCTCTCTCTCTCTCTCTCTCTCTCTCTCTCTCTCTCTCTCTCTCTCTCTCTCTCTCTCTCTCTCTCTCTCTCTCTCTCTTCTCTCTCTCTCTCTCTTCTCTCTCTCTCTCTCTCTCTCTCTCTCTCTCTCTCTCTCTCTCTCTCTCTCTCTCTCTCTCTCTCTCTCTCTCTCTCTCTCTCTCGTTTGCTATTTTCTATTTCTCTTACCTTCTCTTTCTTTCGCTCTTTTTCACACATTATTCCTTCTTTCATTTACTCTTCCCTCTCATGCTCTTTCCGCCTCGCCATACACCTTTCCCTTCCCCACTTTCTTCTCTCATTACCTTATTCCCTTCACTCTTCCATCTCTTCTCTCTTTCCTCTACCCCTTTTCTCATTTTTCATTCCAATTTCCCTTCCCTTTTTCCCTCTTTCTGTCATTCTCCTCTCAATTTCCTCTCACTTTTCCCTCTTCTCTCTTTCATCATTTCTCGTTTCCCTTTCTTCTTTCCCTTCTTTCCTCTTCCTTTTGCTCTTTTTCTGCTTCCCCTTCTCCTTTTCTCTTCCTTTTCTATTTCTCTCCTCCTACCCATCTCCTTTCTTCTTTGCCTTTCCCCTAACCTTCTCTCCTCTCCTCTTTGTCCTGTCCCTGCTATTCCCTTCTCCTTTCCCTCTTCCTCTTTGCCTTCTCTCCTCTCCCTTTTCCCCTTTCCCCTCATCTCTTCCCCCTTCCTCTTTCTCCTCTCTTTCCCCTCCCTATCCCCATTTCTCCCTCTCCCCCTCCCCCCTTCCCTTATCCCCATTTCCCCCTACCCCCTATCCCCCCATCTCCCCCTCGCCCCTCCCCTGCCCCTCCTCCCCTCTCTCCCTTTCAAGACCTCCCCCATTCAAAACAATAGACACCGCCCAACAGACATAAGCAAGGAGTGTTGTTGATACTATTATAATCATTATTATTTTTGCAGCTCGCCTAACTCACTTGACCTGTGGACTAAGCTTGGTTAAGGGGGGGAGGTGGGGGGTAAGAGGAGGGGGAGAGGAGGGGGGGGTGAGGGTCATCGGTTGAAGTGGAAGGGGAGGGAGAGGTGAAGGTAGGGGGGGGGGAGGAGAAGGGAGGAGGGGAGAGGGGTCTCGGGAAGGAGGGGGCGTTAGGGTGCGGCGGGAGGGAGAGAAAGTAGAGGAGAGAGGGTGGGGAGAGGGTCATTGAGGTGAAGGTGGGAAGGGGGGTGGAGAAGGAGAGAAAGAGGAGGGAGGAGGGAGAGGAGGAGAGGGTCATCGAATTGAAGGTGGGGAAGGAAGAGATGAGGAGGTAGGAGGGAGGGGAGTCTTGAGAGGGAGAAGGGAGGGGAACACCGAAGGAGTCCGGAGCCTGAGAGGAAGGAGGAGGGAGGAAGGGAGGTCATCAAGGAGCTGGGGGTGTTGGGAGGAGGAAAGGGGGTTGGAGGAGGGGGTGTAGGATGCGTCAAAGGCTCCTGAATGAAGCTTATCCACCGTGACGCTCGGATGGACGGCTCTGTTTCTTCTCCTGCCTGAGCATCCTTAGCGCTCGAGACAGTGAGATGCAGTGTGTTGCCAGCGTGTGTTTGTGCGCTGAATTTGCGCGCATATGTGCATGTGCATATATGTGTATGTATGTGTAGAGTGCGTGTGTGTATGTACAAATGTATGTATGTGTAGTGTGTATGTATGTATATGTGTATGTATGTGTAGCTGTGTTTGTATGTATAAAAGTGTATATATGTGTAGTTATGTGTGTGTATAATATATATATATATATATATATATATATATAATATATATATATATATATATATATATATATATATATTATATATGTATGTGTGTGTGTGTGTGTGTGTGTGTGTGTGTGTGTGTGTGTGTGTGTGTGTGTGTTTGTGTGTGTGTGTGTGTTGTGTGTTGTGTGTGTGTGTGTGTGTGTGTGTGGTGTGTGTGTGTGTGTGTTGTGTGTGTGTGTGTTGTGTGTGTGTGTGTGTCTGTGTGTGTTGTGTGTGTGTGCATGTTTACGTCTACATCATAACACCCTCAGCAGCCATCGTAAGTCCACGATCCTTGGACCAATCCTTATCTCTGGCGTTTTCCCTGGACACTTCTCAGCCTCCTTCTTCCACTTCTTCTTCGTTGACCTTCTCCTTCTAAGTCCTCTTTCCTATCCCTTAGTTTCCTGTCAGTTATATCCTCTCTACCCCTTTTGCCACTTCCTCTTCCCTCTGTCCTAGCTATATGTACAATTTACACTCTATTTTTCTTCTTTCATTCTTTGACACTTCTATCATATTTTTTGACTCTTGTCTGTTCTACACTCTTTCTTCTTTCATTCTCGCAACACTTCTATCATATCTTTTACTCTTGTCTGTTCTACACTCTTTCCTTCTTCATCTGGTAACACTTCTATCATATCTTTTACTCTTGTCTGTCCAACACTCTTCCACTCTTTCATTCTGGTAACACTTCTATCATATCTTTTACTCTTGGTTGTCCCTACCCTCTTCCTTCTTCTTCCTATTCTCGCAGCACCTCTACCATATCTCTTACTCTTGGTTGCCTACCCTCTTCCCTTCTTTCATTCTCGCAACACTTCTATCATATCTTTCACTCTTGGTTGGCCTTACCCCTTTCCCTTTCTTTCATTCTCGTAAACTCTATCATATCTTCACCTTGCTCCACCCTCTTTCCTTCTTTATTCATCTATCATATTCTTTACTCTTGTTTGTCCTACCCATTTTCCTTCTTTTCATTCTCGTCACTTACTGACAAACCTCTTCCCTTCTTCATTCTCGCCTCCCTCTATCATATCTCACTCTTGCTTGTCCTACCCTCCCCTCTTTCATTCTCGCAACACTCTCCTATTCCATATCTTTTACTCTTGTCTTTTCTCTTATTCATGCTGACCTTTTCCTGTCTCTCGGGCTTAATCCCGATTTTGCCCTTTGCGTCTCGTGGAATATTTTTTAGGCTTGTTATTTTATCTATTCTGATTATTTATTCAGCTTCTTCTACTTACTGTGATTGATCATAAGCGGTTCTGGTAAGTCAGGATTATTCATAACGGTGGTGAAGTATTCATACATACATGCATATATATTTATATAGATAGATAGATAGATAATTATATAATATATATAATATATATATATATATATATATATATAATATATATATTATTATATATATATATATATATATATATATATGTGTGTGTTGTGTGTGTATGTGTGTTGTGTGTGTGTGTGTGTGTAATATGTGTTGTATATACATACATATATATCATACACACACACACACACACCACCACACACATATATTATATATATATATATATATATATATATATATATATATATATATATATATATATATATATAATATATAATATATATATATATATATAATATATATATATATATATATATAATATATATTATATATAAAATTATTATATAATACATGTATATATTATATATATATATAACATATATATATATATTTATATATATATATATAATATATATTATATATATATATGTATTGTATGTATGTATGTATGCTATGTATGTATGTCATGTATGATTATATTATATATATATAGATAATATATATATTATATAATATATAATATATTACTATATGTATATATACATATATATAATTATATATAAATATATAAGATATAAATATAGATAAGATGTATTGTACTAGTCTCATATTATATCGACATCCATATGTCATGTATATTCCTCACGTGAGGTGGAGTGGAGGGAGGAGGATCATACCTAAATTATCACTCTATCCTCTCGCTCATACACTCTAGCGTTCAATGCTACATTCTATATATATGTATGTATATCGCATATTCCAGCACCCGCTGTGACCTAACCGTCTGACTATCTGATCTCTCCATCCCCGATGATATGCCTCTCCAATACATCTATAACCTCCTCTCAACTCTAAACTAGTGACTCTCCATACACCAATATATCCACATAAAATATATGTAATTCTACTTATATCTCCTCTCCAATATTTATATTATTAGGTATAATACATATATATATATATATATATATATATTTAATTATTAATATATATATATATATATATATATATATATATATTATATATAATATATACTTACATAAATATACATATTTTACATTTCAATACATACATATCATATTCAACCTAACAAGCTATCCTATCCATGCGACAAGCACCATCAAATTCACACACCACACCAAAAACACACACACATACAACACAT